GTCTATTTTGTTCACACTTAGTAATCTCGTGCGTCTTCAATAAAGGTCGCTGTAATATCTTTCAGAGTTATTGTCTGAATTCCGATATACATGGTAAAAGGTACAAATTCCTTAAGGTTTGTCCATGAGTGTTTTTTAGATATATCCTAAACGCTAAAATTAACCTTTTTTTTTTTTAGATTGTAGAGCGCCATCTAACGGATTAAATACAAACTAAAACGCTGATTTTTCAGGTTCTATTTTCATAATATTGGTCAATACACATCTTCTTCTTTAGAGATATCAAACAGTTGATATTTATTCCGATAGATGGCGCTCTGCCATCGAAAAAAAAAAGCTCATTTGAGTGATAAAGATATGTCCCTATATTTTTTATCATTTCCACAGAAAAAAACTGCTTCAAATGGCACCCGGTTCTTGCAAAAGTCCAACCCTGCAAATGAATGCAAAATAACCAAACGGGGCTCTGGTACACTTGTAACTGCAACAATTTGAACTGCTACTTACATGTGTAGACATATGGTGTACTTATACTAAATTCAAAAGTTAAAGATTTCATCAACCTCTTTTTAATAAAATTAAGAAAAAAAGAACATTTCCTGATTGTGCAACTAAAAGTTGCTGATGGCTTGCGCCATCTGTCGGATTAAATATCAACTAATTGTTGATTTTTTTAATTATTCCAGAATTGGCTAAATACCTATTGGGGAATGGGTATTAAGCCAATTCTGGAAAAAAAATCAACAATTAGTTGATATTTATTCCAATAGATGGCGCAATCCATCAGCAACTTTTATTTGCATAATCAGGACATGCCATTTCTCTTCTTTCTTATTATTTCTTATCTCCACTCAATGATATTAAAATGTCAAGCTTGTAAAGCTTGTTGATGGTGTCTGCCGAGGGAAGAGTAGAGCTCATCAATGGATGAGTCAATAATATTTTTTATGCCTTTTCTTAATACAGTAGAACTTGGATAATTCGAACTTCTTTAATTCGAAAACCTCTTTAATTCGAATATTTATCTTGGTCCCTAGAAGCCTTAAGCCTTTATTCAAAACATCTTTAATTCGAATTTTTGGATAATTCGAATTTTTTTATGGTCCCTTGGGGTTCGAATTATCCAAGTTCGACTGTATAAACACCTGATCCCATTACAATTTCACTTTTGTAACATTTCATCACTTTTTTTTTTTAAATAAATGTTTATTGTCCTTTAGAAAAAAAAAGGTAGAATTTTATTTTATTTTATTTAACAGTTGGGAGAGACACGCCATATCCATAATTAGGATAATTACGTGTATATATTACATTATATACAATTAACACAATTGAACATTAGGAATCATGAAAATTAAACGTTCGATGTCAAATTTTGCATATAGCAATTAGAAATAGTAGCTTGAAATATGTACAGTCAACACTTTCGCCTTGAAGTATACATATGCTTATTAATAAAGTATTGTCTAAGTAAATGAAATGGCAGTACTCTACGTAAACACCGACCATGATTATCATTGCCACGTGTACTAGAGATATCAAAGTCCCGTAGAGTCGGTGGACAAGTGGGTAACACCCTCGATTCCCAACAGTCATGAACCGGGGATCGAATCCCTCGTTAACATTTTGTTTTAATATGTAAATAACCTTCACTCATTGTTATAATTATCATAAATTAGGCTGATCTATTTGAGCGGTACCTAATAAAGTGATTTTGGAACAAAGAAGCATTCTGTCCGTTCACTAGGGCAGAAATCTCGGGCCGTTACCCTCCGTTTTATAAACTTCACTCCGCCATATTGATTCTGTCAGAACCAGACGGCTCTTTCTCATTTGTCATACTGTTTTTTACTCCCTCTCTTGTAACTTTTTTTTAAACTCCAATAATTACGTGTTGTAAAACACACTCCTTTTTATTCGGGTAATCTTATCTAGACTTTCTCTCTTATATCCCTGTGGTTTTCTATCTTCTTTTGTATTTAAATCAATTTACGCTCATAGAAAAAAACTTAAGGAAGTTGTACCTTTTAGTATGTTATATCGGAATTGAGACAATAACTCTGAAAGATATTACAGGGACCTTTATTGATGACACAAGAGATAACCAAGTGTGTATACACTCATGGACAAAACTTAAGGAAGTTTTACCTTTTAGTATGTTATATCGGGATTGAGACAATAACTCTGAAAGATACACTCATGGACAAAACTTAAGGAAGTTTTACCTTTTAGCATGTATATCGGGATTCAGACAATAACTCTGAAAGATACACTCATGGACAAAACTTAAGGAAGTTTTACCTTTTAGCATGTATATCGGGATTCAGACAATAACTCTGAAAGATACACTCATGGACAAAACTTAAGGAAGTTGTACCTTTTAGTATGTTATATCGGGATTCAGACAATAACTCTGAAAGATACACTCATGGACAAAACTTAAGGAAGTTTTACCTTTTAGCATGTATATCGGGATTCAGACAATAACTCTGAAAGATACACTCGTGGACAAAACTTAAGGAAGTTGTACCTTCTAGCATGTATATCGGGATTCAGACAATAACTCTGAAAGATACACTCATGGACAAAACTTAAGGAAGTTTTACCTTTTAGCATGTATATCGGGATTCAGACAATAACTCTGAAGGATATTTGATATACAGTAATCTTTTATCAAAATTCGAAACTATTTTAAACGCGTAAGATTCTTTTTGAAATTAAACAATTTCATGGCGCGCTAGTGCATCATATTACAGTGATCTTTATTGAAGACACACGAGATAACCAAGTGTGTAATCACTCATGGACAAAACTTAAGGAAGTTGTACCTTTTAGCATGTATATCGGGATTGAGACAATAAATCTGAAAGATATTACAGTGATATTTATTGAAGACACACCAGATAACCAAGTGTGTATACACTCATGGACAAAACTTAAGGAAGTTGTACCTTTTACCATGTATATCGGGATTCAGACAATTAATCTGAAAGATATTAAAGTGACGTTTATTGAAGACACACCAGATAACCAAGTGTGTAATCACTCATGCACAAAACTTAAAGAAGTTGTACATTTCAGCATGTAAATAGAATTCAGATAATAACTCTGAAAGATATTTGATACACAGGGATCATTATTGATGACAAACCAGATAACCAAGTATGAACAAAATTGTCTCTGTTTTCTACAAAAGGACAGACGACCGGCCACATTAAGTTTGTCCATGAGTGTAAAATTATAAAGCACGAATGTTTCTTTTGCAAACAAATTAAACTTTATACTGTCCTTAATACGATGTTAAAAATATTGGGAGAGCTTGGTATATCAGTGGTGAACCCTCCCAGCGCTTTCGCCAATTTAATCTACCGGAGCTCTAAAAAACGGTTTGGTAGACGGAATTGGTGAAACGAGAGACGAATTGGGAGGGTTCACCACTGATGAACCAAACCCTACCAATATTTTTACATCGCCGTAAGGACAGTATAAAGCTGTTTTATTTATAAAAGAAAAAAAAAATAGCGTAAAAAAATAATTTCAATTCTAATAATTAATTACATAGTTTTTAATCCCAGTATTCATTTATATAAAGATTTTTAACGCCTTGCTAAATGTTTAATTTTTGTTTGCTCCTGACGAGGACAAAAGATTATTTGTCGAAACGTCGAGGTAATAAAAAGATTTTACTGGCCGAAGTATCTTCATTTTCAAGAAATCATTTATATAAAGACGTATTTACCATAAGTATCACCTCTCCCTTTAAAACATTTGGTTTCTCGACCCAGTACAGAACGTAAATGATGATGATAATGAGCCACAATACCAGTTCCAACAAATCCAGACAATAGACAACAGACCGTATACCACGGTTTGTGGCTATGTCTTCCCTCTACAATACTTAACCCTCCTACGTATGGAGTTAAGAAAGCGGTAGAATTGTGTACGTGTCGCTAATAAATGATGTTATAAAGAGGTAGGGAACTAGAGCTTAAAATTCGAAATACAAGGTTGTCCCAAAAGTTCGTAAACATTTTATGATTTTTAATTAAAAAGGTATAGATAAAATGAAAGGATTTAAGAGCACGAATGTTTCTTTTATACATAATTTGATTTGATTTGATGATATATGTGAAGGTAAAAATAATATCCTACTATTTACATTTCATTTGAACAACTATCCTGCTACATATAGGACTATGGATGGATATATGACCATGTGGTCTACTGATTGATGTTTTAGAAACGACGAATGCGTTTCTTTTTTACACTCATGGACAAAACTTAAGGAAAACTTTGTAATTCTGAAACTTGGCCCACCTACTGATTGGCTACCCTTGATATAGAAAAAAAACATCAGAGATTAAATCATACTTCTCTATAAGAATTCTGTTATAATTTTACTAAGGTTACCAATATTACTAAGGTTGTCTCAAAAGTTCGTAAACAATTACAATTATTTTATTTCCAAAGCGCTATATCCCGCAAGGGATACTTGCGCCAAACAAGGAGAAAAGTTTATTTACATAAGTTATTTACATTATTCAACGCATGAAAACATTAGAGATTCAGATTTTGTAGAAAGTTTAGAATGTATTTACAAAATGAATTGAACTTTAAATATGATTTTTTATCGGAAATCAAATCGTTAAGTTCACAAACAACTAGTTCATTCTTCATTCTATAATCTTGAAATGCTGGGCAATCGATCAGTAGATGTCTTGAGGTTTGTTCCTCAATACCACAAAAGCAACTTGAATCCTCCACTGCCTTTATTCTATTTTAAAAAACTTTTGAAATTTCCGTGGTTTGTAACAAATTGAGTACAACACAATACAACGCGGCTTGTGATTGTAAAACGACATTTGAAAACTATCCCGCATGTGTTTCTTTTCAACGAAAAATCAAAATTTATTTCAAGGAGAAATAACGATTATTTCTAACCTTTTGGATGAGGTATGAAAGGGTGAATTGTGAAGAGTAATGATAAACGGAAAAATAAGTGTCCAGGGATGGGAACCGAACCCACATTGTTCCGCTTACCGGGCAGATGCCATGTCCACTAGACTAACCATCCCTGGACACTTTTATTTTTCCGTTTATCATTACTCTTCACAATTCACCCTTTCATACCTCATCCAAAAGATTAGAAATAATCGTTATTTCTCCTTGAAATAAATTTCGATTTTTCGTTGAAAAGAAACACATGCGGGATGGTATTCAAATGTCGTTCAACAAATTGAGTATTATAAAAATTTGGACGAAAGTATTTAGGGATTATAAATCATTATCATTTACGAACTTTTGGGACATATTAATACTTTTGCTGACAAAGCTAATGAAAAAAATGCTATTTTTATTATTATTTCTTGGGCGTTAGCTCCCTATATAATTGCTATTCCGCTAATTCCACCCCATTTCTACACAGCGTTCTCTGTTTTGATCGATTTTCGCTCCATTGTCGCCTTCCTACCCATTGTGACGAAGGTTTAACGCAGTTTGCGCCTTTTCCTTTTCTTCCATTTTTCTCTCATTTCGCTCCCAATATTCTTCCCCGTGTTTACGACGTCTTTAACATTTTACTCTCCTGTATTTAAATCTTTTTTCTCTTTAAAAAATTTTACTAAGTTAATTATTTCTTTCTCCTTTTATATATAGCGTTTTTTTTGTCGTCTATTCCAGTTTTAACTTTTAGACATTTTTTTGTGTGATGTTTTTTTTTTTTTTTTGCCGATTACCTTTTTTTGTATTTCACTTTTAAAAAATTATTTTAGAATGTGTTTTTATTACTGTGTGTATATTTTTATTAAGAATTATAAACGTTTTCCATGTTTTAGAATTGTTCTTTATCGCAGTCTTTTTTTTCCATCGAGATGTATAAGACTTTAGGAAAATCGATTGTAAAATAATTGCAAAGGATTTAAAACGATATATCAATCGAAATAATTGTAAAAAGTTGACCCGATGATGAGCTAACACTTGAAAGCTTGCCATTTTTATTGAATACAGAAACTTTTTGCAATTATCCTGATTGATATAAGACTTTAGGAAAATGTTTCTGAAGATTCCAATCGGAGGATGAGTGATATAAACCTGAGATTTCCGACAGCCACTTATTGGATCGAATCCCTCATTAACCACTTTTTTTTTTTCTGAATAAAAGAATTTCTCCAATGAGCTCCTCCTCCGATTCTTGCAAAATTCCAACCCTCACCAGTGTGTTCAAGTAACCAAACAGGGATCTTGTCACATTTGTTAAGTTCTAAAAGTCGAACTGTGCGTTTTACTACATGTGTAGACAGACATGTGGTGTTGCTACAGTAAAAATAGTTTTAGAAATTTAATTACCACATCTATATATCGATAAATTTTTAAAGATTTATGGCAATGTGTTTATTTTAATAATATCATTAAATCTTATCTCTACAGATCTTACTTCAATAATAAAAGTTATTGAACGAGAGAGATTGAAACTGATTTATTATAACGTCCATATAAGATTATTATAAGGTTAAATACATAAAATGAATAAATAAGATTAATAATGATAATGCTCAAAACTGGGCAACTCTGTGCTTCACTTCCATCAATAATTGACAATATGACCCAGAATAAGTATATTGCTACGGCGTTTTATGGTTTCCACAAGTCCATATCTCAGAAGAAGGCCAAGTGATACTCACTCCTCACTTTCTTACTGCTACTCTTTTTGTGTTGATTTCTTGCTTCCCTCTTTCTTCTTCTTCTTCTTATTTTTTTTCCTTTTCTTGTTTTTTTTTCTTTCTCTTTTTACTCTGTATATATCGTTATTTCCTTTGTCTCACTGCTTTGTTCTTATGCATACCTCTGGTGAATCCTGTATAGGGTCAGTGACCCTAAATAAAGGCTTTTTTGTTGTTGTTGTTGATTAATAATGATAGATATATGAATAAATAGATATAAATAGATAAAATAATTGATAAATATACATATATGAAAAAATAGTACAAATGTGATATTGTACTGGGATAAGGTGCATAATTATGAAAAAAGGCATCTCCTTATCGTACAACTGAAATATATATATGAAATATATATATAAATAAATAAATAAACGAGAGAGAGGGCTTGGCTCATCAGTGGTGAACCCCTCTCACCGGTTTCGCCAAATTTGCCCTCTCGGTCAACAACTTTAATCATTGCAGTAAGGTCTGTAGAGATTTTATTTGATGATATATAGGAAGGTCAAAATAGTATCCTACTATTTACATTTCATTTGAACACAACTGTCCTGCGACATATAGGACTATGGATGGATATATGACCATGTGGTATACTGATTGATGTTTTATAAACGACGAATGCGTTTCTTTTTTACACTCATGGACAAAACTTAAGGAAGTTGAACCTTTTAGCATGTATATCGGGATTCAAACACAATAATTCTGAAAGATATTACAGTGACATTTATTGAAGACCCACAGATAACCAAGTGTGGATAATATGCGGATATGTGAACAATATAGGCCTCTGTCTCCTTAAAAAAAAAAAAACAAAACAGACGACCGACGAAATCAAAGATGTTCCACTTCCTCAAGTTTGTCTCCATGAGTGTATTTAAAATGCGGCAAAGAAGCTTTCGAGTGTTAAATATTTCTCAGGCCTGAAGAAGAAGACAACTCGAAAGCTTGCACGCCTTTAAAAAAAAAAGGAAGATGAGGCAGATGTTACGGAGGTGGTTTGTGCCAAACCCCGCCCGGACTGTGAAACTGTGAATTGGTGCCAAGTTGAACTACCTCTACATATGTTGTAGACTGCATGTGGTTTTTACATTAAAAAAAAAATATGTAAATATTTGCCCTGAGAAAGAGTAAATACTCGAAAGCGCATCCAGAATTTAAAATAAGGAAACACACTACTCGTTTTACTTTTATAACTAATTTGCAAGTAGATTTATATAATTAGTAGACCTCATCTATACCATATCTATCATGGCCTCTGTACCTTGTATACTTGTTTTAACAACAATGATACAAAAATTGCCATTAGTGGCTAGAGCAATATTTGCCATCAAACTTAAAGCGCCTTATATATATTGTCGCGGAGATAAATAAAGCAAGGACAAGTTTGGGAATAATTAATTTATTATAAGGGGTATTTATAGGGAGAGAGAGGGAGTACAACTTACCCCAAGTTAAAAGATAATCCTAATGAACGGCATCAGCCACCGTCCCGTTTTCCTTATTTACAGATCAGCTTCCGAGAACCCCTCACACCTGTGGTCCTCCCCCGGGGGTCCAGGGATGATTGACAGATGTCCCATCTGGATGGAGCTACTTGACAATATTGCCATGTTGTTCATGTCATTCGGATGAAGCCCTACCTGGACCCTGAAGAACAACATTCCATTCTGCTAGGGAACACAGGCCGTGATAGATTTCCTTCCAGAACAAGGGCTGAGACAAGCTAATCAGCGGGTCGCTGTTTTTTTTTCTAAAGAGGGAGTAATGTCAAATAGCTCCATCCAGATGGGACAACTGTCAATCATCCCTGGACCCCGGGAGGGGGGAAGCTGATATGTAAATTAGGGAAGACAAAAACTTCAGGAGGAAACAAAATTTATTTCAGCGAAGGACCAAACTAAGAAAGGTAAACAAAAGATAAGCCACGAGGGAAATTTACAGAGTCGCAAGATATAAAAATAAAAATGACCACTCTGTTAAATAAAAAATAATAAAATTAAGAAATACTATGTTACATAAATTAAATTAATACATACTATGTTACATAGCTTCTTCCCTATGGGAGCTGTGACCCACAGCTAGCAATTATTGTAGATACTGACGTGGATTTGACGTGCTTCTGCCAAGGATTCCATCGAAGTCTTGGAACTTTGTCCCTAGTACCTTTGCGTCCATTTTCTTGCGGCGTGAAGAGCGGCTTTGTCGTCGTATCGTCTATAGGGACATCGTCATCTTCGAAGGAAGTCTTGGCTTTAGCGCGTCGGTGGAATCCTGATGTCAGTCTCCGAAAATGTAGATCACAGCACCCATGGCTTCAAGGTCTTCTCGGCGATCTTCAGTTTGTCTTCCCTAAATTACCCAGCATCTCCACCAAAATGCCACGTGGAAAATTAGGGAAGACAAAAACTTCAGGAGGAAACAAAATTTATTTCAGCGAAGGACCAAACTAAGAAAGGTAAACAAAAGATAAGCCACGAGGGAAATTTACAGAGTCGCAAGATATAAAAATAAAAATGACCACTCTGTTAAATAAAAAATAATAAAATTAAGAAATACTATGTTACATAAATTAAATTAATACATACTATGTTACAATATATATTATATTTAAAAATGATTTCTGCTGTTGACTTTGGAATATTATTTTCTAATTATTTTTTTTTTAGATATATGCTTATCATTATGATATTGTTTTGCAGTCGTGGGAATAAAATAGCTTTTATCAGAGATTGCTTTAATTGAGCTTATGGAATATAGAAAACATAATTTGATAAAAGTACTGCCTGACTTAAGGCGTAAGAATAAAAAAAAAGAAAACTTATTTACATAATGTACAAAAGATTTGAGCCGGCCATCGGGAAACAATAACAATGTGTTTTTTTATAGGGGAAGCGTGACCTCTGGCGGTCGATTTAACAGAGTATTTGAACCTATGAAATATAATTAAAATATACAAGTATCAGAGTCATAATCAGCAATCAATCAACAATTCTGTCACCGTTTGCTTTTGTGAATGGAATAAATACCCAAATATGGCCATTTTTTATAAGCATTTGACAGGTTCTGGGCAAAAATAGTTGTTTTTTTTTTTAAATCAGAAAATGATTATGACAATATTGCTGTATCATATTTGATTATCAGATACAAAATTATATCCGGAAAAATTCCAAAAAGCAGAGACCACGGGTGAAGCCAGTTCATTTTTTAGTATGCAGGAACAAAATTCTAACAGAAAAACATTCATTCGAGCAGAAGACACAAAGCCAGATCATCTCTTTATAAAAATATCGCTTCTCTGACACAAAGTTTGGAGCGGGACGTTTCACAAGAATGACATCCACGGCGCCAATTTATAATTGTA